ATCACAATTCTTTAGCAAACAAAGTAAAAAATTTAAATATCTATTGAATGGATTCCCTATATCACATTACTGTCAAATGGCATAAGTAAAAATGTCCATGGAAGAATATGCTGTGTGTACCCTACCTTTTCATGGACTTTCTGACTGGGCTCAATCCCTTCAAGATGTTCTGACTCTGTGGATCCCTCACTGGATACCATTTTCCTTTGAATATGAACATTTTGTTCGCGTAATGCAACAATCTGCAAAATAAAAACATGGTGCCTTTAGAACCTAAAATAGAGCATAAATTAAAAAATAAAATAAAATTTAATGTTAAGAAATAAGGAATACTAAGAAGTGATCAGTACATAAAGAGGAATTTTAATATTATTTCAAAAAGTCATTAAAACTTGGTTTAATATTTGAATATCATTTATAGGAATCATAATATCTATTCTAATAGGCCTTATCTTAGGATTCCTAGTCCAAACTTAATATATATATATATCTGTTGTTGTTGTTTGCCGTCGAGTCGGCCCCGACTCATAGCGACCCCTCCTTGGGTTTCCGAGGCAGTATCACTACGGAAGTAGATTGCCCCATCTTCCTTCCGACAACAACAACAATAGGCCTTATCTTAGGATTCCTAGTCCAGACTTAACTTATATATATATATAGATATCTATCTATATAGATATCTATATATATCTATCTATCTATATATATCTATATATATCAGGGAACAATTCATTCTAGTGAACTTTCTGCTCAATTATACAGATGTGAATGATTCAAGTTAAAAACAGGTTCATAGGCAGTTTTAATATAACTGATGTTAGTAATAATATACAGAGTGAAGAAAAGGGTTTCACTCTTTTGACATTTTTAAAAGAATATATTTTTTATCTATACATTTACACTACCTATGAAATATTTTGAAAATATTTTACATTATATTCATCACAAAATATTTATTTCACAGCAAATTTTATTATATTATCAACTCAGATATTGAGCCAGTAGTCTTTCTAGGGAAAACAATGTCTATATTTAATATATAATAAATACTGAGTAGTATTGTTTTAATTCAACTATGTTGAAATTATGATACAGAATCTATAACATAGACCAATAATCATCAAATACATGAAAGACACCAGATGCACCAAGCTGTGTTCATGAGATCAGCTGATCTTGCATATCAACTCAAGCATCTGTCATACCGTACAACTTCCATACATTTACTGTACAATTTCTTAAAGGCAAATCACCACATAATGAAGACAAACTATGTAAATACTCTTCTTTCTCTTGTGTTCACAAAGCGGTTAGATTCATCTCTTAAAACTTATGTTCTATCATGGCATTCCTTGGCTTGCTATATCACTTCAATATTTTCCCCACTTGTTGCTAGGTGCTGTCAAGTCGGCTCTGACTCACAGCAGCCATGTGTACGACAGAAAGAAATACTGCCCGGTCCTGCACCATCCTCACAATCCTTAATATGCTTGAGTCCATCATTGCCACCCTGCCAATCCATCTCCTTGACAGTCTTCCCTTTTTCTGCTGACCCTCCACTTTACCAAGCATGACATCCTTCTCCAGGGACTGGTCTCTTCTGACAACATGACCAAAGTAGGTGAGTCGAAGTCTGGCCATTCTTGCTTCTAAGAAGCATTCTGGCTAGTGAATGTTTGCAGCTGTTTCTTCCCAACTTAACATACCCTCTGCCATTGAGTCAATTCTGACTCATAATAACCCCCATTGGGTTTCCAAGGCAGTAAGCTTTACAAAAGCAGTCTGCCCTATCTTCCTTCTGCAGAGCTGCTAGTGGGTTTGAACTGCCAACCTTCTGGTTAGCAGTCAAATGCCTTAGGCATTGTGACATAAGAAGCTCCTTCTTCCCAACACAGCATAAATTCACATTTCTTAACAAGTTCTATAATATCCTACATGATTTGATCCTCCAACATACCACCTTCTTTGATGTTGAATTTGATTTTCCTCTTCCTGACCATTGTCCCCAGCTTGAAACATAGCTAACACAATCTCAGTTTTAAAAACTCATCTGAAAACCACTCTTCTGATAGAGTGTACTTAGCTATCAAACACTTGTTATCAACTTGTTATCAGGGTGTTATCAACACATTAAAGTCCTGCTTATTTTTGCATGGGTAACATTCGTTAAAATCTAGTATTTTGTTGCTTTATTTACCTACTTAATTTGTTTATTTATTTGGTAAGCAGAAATTCTAATAATATATCATGGTAAAATAATTTGTAATGAAAGGTTTTATTAAAAAGATTTGCATATGAAGTAGCACATGATATTATTATGTGTGGGATATTTAATAAACGTGTTGAATTAATGATGAATGGAAATGGAAAAACAAAGGATTTAAACACAATTAATTTAGAAAACAAAGGATAAAAATTTAAAATATTCAAGAACTTTCAGAAATATTCCCCTTATGTTAGTTAACATAGATATGTATTATATCAAAGGAACAACAACAATAATGAGTGTTTCTGGTTATATAATTTTAATATTCCATTATTAACACCTTATTTTCCCCATGAAATAATAAATCATTTATATATAATAAAGTTTTGTTATAAATTTGTTAAATAATCCAGCTAGAGCTTAATGCCTGCCAACATTCCATGAAGACAACATCAGACTTAACAGATATGCGAGGACAAACTGTTGCTGCGTAGTCAATTACAATTCAAGGTGACTGAATGTGATGCAGAATAGAACTGTGCTCAGTAGGGTTTTCAATGGCTGTTTTTTCAGCAGTAGATTGCCAGACTTTTATTCTGAGGCACCAAGAAAGTACTGAAAGTCTACTATGTGCCAAATCCTGTGCTAAACTATTTTTATCTGCAATAGATATTATGACTCATGTTTGAGAAGTGATTAAACATAGGTAAAGATGAATTGCTGAGAGAAATTAACTATAAGTTAGCTTTACTTTCTACTTTGTAACACCTTCTTCCATGGCTTTGCACTTGCCTTTGTGTTCTGTCACCTGCTCTGTGGGAGAAAGATGTGGCAGTTGCATCCATAAAGATTACAGCCCTGGAAACCCTAAGGGGCAGTTCTACTCTGTCTTAGAGGGTCATTATGAGTTGGAAATGACTGGACAACATAAAATAACAGAAAAAAGATTGGGAGGAGAGAGGAACATTTTCTCTTCACTTTTCCACCTGGAATTCACCTGGAATCTTTTGTACATCACAAAAGTATGGACTTCTCTGGAGTAATTCACATATATTCAGGTTTGCATACATTTTCAGGGTGTTATCAACACATTGAAAGTCCATTGAATGATGGTCAAGATGGTTGTTCCACAATCATATTAGCTTATGAACTAAGTATGTGTTGAAATTTATTTAAGTGTATCCATTATCCTTTGTTTTTCTTTTTGTAACAGCATCTTATATTTTCATTGCGAAATTTTCCTTCTCTATGGCAAACAAGTAGGCTGTGATTTGAGCCAGGGGAATCAGAATGCTTCCTGAAATGTTTCTGACAGAGCTACAGGGAAAGATGTTCTCTTTCTACTTATGTGATCAGAATGCTCTTAGCCATCAGTTCTTCCTCACTGAGAAAGCATGCATATGGAGCCCTGATGAATCACTTCTACTCCTAATTCTGGAAATTGAAAATTATTTCTATTCTGGCATTTCAGTAACATCATCCAAAATATCTCCCTCTGTGCTCAAATTAGTTTGAATTGGGTTTCTGTCACTTGCAACTAAACTCTCCTTGAAAATAAAGCAGGTGACGCAGGAGGCACCATAATGTATCTAGTATCTACATGGGGATTTTGGAGAATGTGTAAGAATTTATCAGACAGAGAATGGGAGATGTTGCAGGTGTGTAGAAGAACAAGGGCATAAGCACTGATGTTAGACAGCATCATTGTGTCTCTAGTACTGTACATTTAATATCACCGTGGAAAAAGCGTCTGGGAGAAACAAAAGAATTATAAGGGAATAACAAAATGTTTCAACTAAAATCCTAGGTTTTATGGTTGGTCTGGACTCTTATTTGTTCTTTGTGATTTATCATTATGGTAGTTAAGGTGTGTAACAACTTCGCTGGGCCCGGTTTTGAGTGGCTGGGCAGCTGGATATAGTAATCCCCATTATGAGACTGGTAATCAACTCCACAGTGGAATCTACTAGAGCAGCTGAGTAGCAGCATTGGGGATGTGGTCTGTTTCCCATATATAAGAAGAATTATTGAGAAAAATATCCAGCTTTTTGGCACACTTGGACCCTGCATGTGGCCAAGTCTTCATTTAGCAGCTTGCCATGTTTCCTGCTGATCTTGGAACTGTCTCTAGACTTGAACTAATGACCTGTCATGTTGTTTGGTAATCTTGGAACTGTGCCATTTTATTTGTTGACCTTGGGTTGGTCAGCCTCAGCAGTCAGCAGCTGCCTGAGTTAACAGAAGCCTCCAGCATCAGTCGGCGAGGAACAAGAGGCAGAGCTGAAGCCCAAGGTTGAAGGGCCTTCACTCAGCCCCTAGAGGTGGCACTTTGAACTTGGACTTCTAGCCTCCTAAACTGTAAAAGTCCCTGTTTCCTAAGACCATCCTTTGTGGTATTTTCTGTTACAGTAGCACTAGAGAACCACAACAATCATCAATGTTCAGATATATTGGTCTACTGTTTCTAAACTCTCAAACTGATTATATTTCCAAGTCAAACCTCCAAGTTTCATTCTTGTCCTTGCTGTATCATGTTATTTTGGCTCTTATCAGCCTGTAACATGCTCTGATCTTATAAAGCAGACAACTGGTGGCCTTGGTCTTTCAGTCTGGAAAATTCTGTAGCCTTCATTTTGTTTTTCTACCAGACTTTCTCTGGGTTTCTACCCTGTCTTGCAACAAATCCTCTCCTACCTTCTGGTCTTTGGGAAACTGTTTTCCCAAGAAAACACTGAGGAATTTATTTCACAAATATTCCTTAGCCTTGATGATCATCAGGGATTAAAGATACACAATGAAGGAAAAAGGCAAACATTTTCACCCTAATGAAACTCATGTTTTATAGGGAGATAGGCAAAGAACATATAATTTTGAAGGGTGAAAAAGCAAGCACAGGAATAGGATAGGGAATACTGGGTGGTACAACTTTAATAAGAAGAAGGCTATTCTGAGTATGTACAGAATATGGGGGAAGGCATTTCTGGGAAAAGGGTGCAAAAACTGTAAATCATATTGAAAACAAAGGCTTAAGTTCCC